ACGTGCCGACCTTTGACCCCGAGTGGGGACCCGAGTGGGGGGACCCGAGAGGGCCCATGCGAGGCAGTGCGGGGAAAGCCGTGGCCGGGCGGAACCGTGGCAGCGCGTCCCAAGCGCTTCTCCTTTCATTGCTGCTCTGTTTGCATTGTTTCGCATACCCGCGGCGAATGAAAAAGGGGATCTCTCCCCCCCCCCTCCCCGCCCGAGCCCTTTGGCTTTAGTCGAGACATCGAAATCCGATAGCTCCACCGGCCATTGGTGCAAGCAGACGAGCCTGGCCCTGCTGCTGCTGATGAGACACTGAATGTCGAAACCCGCTCCGGAGTAGGGTTTATTCTTGCATTTAACCAAAGCTGCTGAGGGGGGGGGGGGGGGGGGGGAGGGGGGCACGCAAAATCACTTGAGGGAGAGGCCGTGCGGCCGACGGGATGGGTACAAAAAATGCTTTTGGATCATGGATTTTTTTTCTTTTTTGTGTTTTTACAGACGTGGGAAGGTGCCGAAATGCCGGCTTGCGTTTGTCATTATTTCGATGTTGTCGTCGAGGGTCGCCAATGATGACCCGCGGGGTCCATAGAAACCCCGCGGCTTGGAAGGGATTCGTGGTCAGGATCGGGCACGGAAGGTGGATGGCGAGAAATGGCTAACACAACCCCGAAAGGTCAACACACGGACACTGCAGCCTCACGCACATATTCACTGTCACACGCTCAGCACTTGCACAACAACAGCCACCGTTCGACACTAAGTCGGGGTGACATCACCCACGGCGCTTGTTCCAGGCTGGGTGCACGTTGAGGCCACGTGAAATGTCGAAGGCTCGCTGACATGGTCACGAGACAGACACAGGTGCCATGGGTTCACTGAAATGACTGATAGATTTACACTACCAGTGCTCCCCACTGCGTTTAAGCTGCCCGGCGCTCCGCTCGTTGTTGTGAGCGTCGCTCCTCTGCCCTCCGCTGTTGCTGGAGAGCGACTGCCTCCTACCGCTCAGCAGCGGCGTCCTTCGCGAACCTCCTCCACAGAGGCGGATCTTGACACCGCTGGTAATAGTCATCGGGAAATCAACACAGCTCCACATCCTCCTGTTCCACATCAGCTCCAATACTTCTCTCACCCGTGCCGCGCCCGTTTAACCTCCACTATCCGGCCAAACAGCTGCTTGGGCATGCGATGGCTGGGCATGCGGGCTACATGACCCAGCCAACGCAGCCTCGCCTAACACAGATACAATCTCACACATAAACATACACCTATAGATTTACAAACACAGGCACGCACGTACAGTCTTACACACACGTGTTCAGGGTGTGTGGGTCAGGTATGTGGTGTGCGTGTGTGTGTATGAAGTGTGTCTGTCTATGTGTGCGCGCGCGCGGGCTGGTGATGGTGTACATACGTGTGTGTGTCTGTGTGTGTATTGTGTCTGATTGTGTCTGTGTGTCTGATTGTGTGCGTGTGTCTGTGTGTGTCTGTGTGTGTATGGGGAGCGGTGGTGTAGCGGTTATCGCGTTGCGCTACGAACCTGGCGACCCGGGTTCGATTCCCGCTCACGGCCAACACCCAGTGACGATTATCTGAACCGGTCCTGGGCCTCCCCTAGGTCGACTCAGCCTCAAATGAGTACCTGGTGCGATGTGTGAGCATCGCCAGTAGGGAGACAAAGGCGGCCGGGCGTGGTGTTGGCCACCCACCCCCTCGCGTGCCGTGCCGGCCTTCATAGGTGCTCGCTAACAGCACTTGCCCCAACAGTCTGTTACAGGCGACACGGGGGGAGTCTTTATGCGTGTGTGGTAGTCTAGTCGCTGCGCTACGAACCCGGCGACCCGAGTTCGATTCCTGCTCACGGCCACCAACACCGGTGACGATCGTCCGAACCGGTTGGTAGGGTTCGCCCCTGATTCGTGCCGCTGTTGGGGTGATCACCCAGCCGCAAAGTGACTCCGCCACTCCGCCACTACGCCGACTGCCTCGCCCGGTCGACGTTTACCGATCTCGCGTGACGCAAACCCGAAACGCATTGGCGTCAGTGCTATTCCAATTTAGCAAAGTTCGATCGATTATTCGGCAACGAGTTGCAGCTGCATCGCCCCCTTTGGCGCAACGAGTTGCAGCAACATTGCCCCCTGCAGGCTGCCTCTGCGCAACACACCCGAACAAGCCTTCCTGCGTCACAATAGCAACTAAAACTAAACTATTTTATTGATGATGATGAGGGTCGTGATGGTGGTGATGTTGATGATGACGACGGTGGTGATGGTGATGATGATCCTTGCCAATAATGAAGAATGGGGTTGGCATGCAAGCAATGAATAGAACGCGCCCGATATAAATTACGTAGCTCTTTATCAGACGCAAACCTGGCCACAAGCGATAGCTCAACGAAGTGGCTGATCTCAAATCGCGTGGAAATTTACAGCGGACAAATATTCCCCCCAAAAAAATGTGTCCACGTGCCCAGGCGTCAAGGGTTCGGGGATCGAAGCCACGGCTTCCTCCCGTATATCAAGTCGCGGGAGATAACATCTCCTAGCCACCGTGCCGCCCCCGCTATTACTGCGCTGTGACAGTGACGGCTCGAACACCAAATGTACTCGATTGCTACCGCAATTATTACAATTATTATTTCGGATGCGAAGAAGGAACGGCGGTTTTAGAGAAGTCGGCGCAGCCGTGGAGAGGCGAGTAGGGGTGGTGATAAGAGCGCGTGGGTGTGTACGCAGGAGATGGGACGGCGGTGTAAGTTGTCCGTCTGGTGCTCGCCGAACTGCGTTCCAATGGTCGCCCCACGCGATGTCAGGTCTCACCCAACACACACTCGCACAGAATGCTCGCTACGAATGCACCACGGTCACCTCGCTGATCTCGTCCAAGGAGCGCAAACCATCACGCGGAATCCCCGTCACACTCGCACGCGGGTTTTGGCTGCTCGCCGTTCGAACAAAGGCGGCGGTCACCGCATCGCGCGCTTGCAGATGCGCTTCCGCGGCCGTCTGGAAAGCTCTTCCTGCCGACATTAGATTTAAATCTCATTTCTTTCGAACTGCTCTTTTGTGTGCGTTTAGATTGTTGTCCCCCCCCCCCCCCGCGCGCACCTCTTTATAAGCACGGTTGGCTACGTGCGGTGTGAAAGAAGTTCAGCATGCATACATGCTACATTACGGTACAGACAGTTGATAGACTCTGCAACGACGAGAGGGCTTCTGTGAGAGCGTTGGTGTCGGTTTGGTTTTCCTTCAGTGAAGGAGCGCAGACGACAGTTGGTGGACAAAACCAGTCAATGGAATGTGTTCCATGGCCACTTTCTGCACAACTGTGGATTGGTTTTAATGTATATTATGAGTCTCTGTGTGTCTATGTGTATCTCCATGGGTCTGTATGGGTTTACTATATGGTCCATAGTTTGGGTTGAATGGCCACAATCGCACTACTGTATCTCTATGGGTCCCGACGATGTGTCTCTATATGTATCTCTATGGGTCTCTGTGCATCTCTAGGAGTCTCTGTGGGTTGACAATATGGGTCCATGGTGGTGTGGGTTGTGCTTAGCCCACGAAACCACTCAGCCCGGTGCAAACTTTTCCGAAGACCACACTCATCACACCCCCCCTCCCCCCCGTGATGAAACACATTCAACTTATCTCCCTAAATATCAGCAAATATTAAAATTATTCGTATTACCGGAACAGAGAAACTGTTTAGATATTGTTACGCAGCTAAAAGGTATTTGATTATGGGCGGTGGTGGTTGGCATTTAGATGTTAAAGTTTAGCGCAGTTTAATCCGGGTAGTTTAACTAACTTTTTTCATGATTAAATATCATTAAGTAAAAATGTGAACTAATAATACCGTCAAACTAAAGGTTTAATAAGCGCCCCGCGGCAGCACCACCTGGGAGGGAAGTCGCGGAAACACAGCGGGTTTGTGGCCACCACCACCAGCACCACCACCACCACCACCAGCACCACCTTCACCACCAGCACCACCACCAGCACCACCACCTTCACCACCACCACCACCACCACAACCACCCACCACCAGCACCACCTTCACCACCAGCACCACCACCACCAGCACCACCACCACCAGCACCACCACCACCAGCACCACCTTCACCACCACCACCAGCACCACCACCTTCACCACCACCACCCACCACTACCACCAGCACCACCTTCACCACCAGCACCACCACCACCAGCACCTCCACCACCACCACCACCCACCATCACCACCACCAGCACCACCACCACCACCACCCACCACCACCCACCAGCACCACCACCACCTCCACCACCACCACTACCACCAGCACCACCTCCACCACCTTCACCACCACCACCTTCACCACCACCACCTTCACCACCATCACCACCTCCACCACCACCACCCACCACCACCAGCACCACCACCACCACCTCCACCACCTCCACCACCTTCACCACCACCACCACCACCACCTTCACCACCACCACCTCCACCACCTTCACCACCACCACCTTCACCACCATCACCTCCACCACCGCCACCACCTCCACCACCACCAGCAGCAGCCACCCACCACCAGCACCACCACCAGCACCACCAGCACCACCAGCAGCAGCCACTCTGAGTAAGCACTGGCGTGGACCTACGGTCCACCTCGCGACAGAGAGAGAGGCACGAGAGAGGGAAGGGAGAGAAGAGAGAGAAGAGGGAGAGCGAGAGATGCACACGCAGCAGATTCGGACCGCAGTCTTTGCGATGACGACGACGACAAACAACAACAACAACAAAACAACAGCGACCGATCTCTGTAGCTTGGAGAGCACGCGAGGAAATGAACCACGGCGAGATGATGACACGATGGAGCTCGTGCCAACAAAGGATGGTGAAGGTGAACGGTTTGAGACGAGTTTGGAGGAATTATGACTCAGTTATGACTGCCCGTGGCAAGGGAAATGAACGCCACCCCCCCTTAACCCCCCCCTTCACCCCCCCCTGCACCCCCCCCCAGGCCCCCCACCTTAGTAATTCCCCGTTTCCAGGTCCAGGGTCTCCGCATGCTGCACGGAGATTGCTGCCACTGGGGGAACCCCCCCTAGGCTAGACCATACAGTGGTGAATAAATAATCATGGCCACCTACTGTGGTGTCGTGTGCGGTGGGGTGTAGTGTGGTGGGTGGATAGTGGAGTGTGTGGTGTGGTGTGGGGTGTTGTCTGAGGTGGCATGTAGTCTGAGGTGGGGTGTAGTCTGGGGTGGGGTGTAGTGTGGTGGGTGGATAGTGGAGTGTGTGGTGTGGTGCGGGGTGTAGTCTGGGGTGGGGTGTAGTGTGGGGTGGGTGGATAGTGGAGTGTTGTGTGGTGTGGGGTGTAGTTTGGAGCAGGGGGATCGGCTAAGCAGTGACCAGGAGACGGCTCATATCTGGCCAGACATGCACGTGTGTATGTATACGTGTACACACGTGCGTGCCGTGTACACACGTACATGCCATGCACGTGTGTACACGTGCCCCTATACACACACACACGTGCATGCCGTGCTGCGTGTACGGCTGTATACGCCTGCCCCGCGTACACACGCACGCGTCCCCGTGTGCGTCCTCCTCTAGCAGGGCGACGAGGCGACGTCTCCCGCGCCGCCCCGTGCCATCATGGCCAGGTAGTTAACCCCGAGGCGCCCGGCCGAGGGGTCAGACAAGCGGCGGCCGGAGGCCCGGAACCCCTGGGCCGGCAGGGCGCTCCCCACGCGCCCTGGTGGCTCCCCGGCGGGTGAGTCGGGCTCTGGGGGGCCCCAGCTGGGCGGGGAGCCGCGGGAGCGACCCCATGGCGAGGCCGAGCCCGCGGCGGTCGCGATGGTGCCCGGGACGACGCCGACGCCGGCGGCGGTGGTGGCGAGGCCCTGGGGGGATGCGGGCGACGGGGGTCGCACGGCGTCGAGGGGGGTCTGCAGGAACTGAGCCGAGTAGTCGGAGCAGTTGCTGAGGCGCGTGCGGTAGAGGGACGCGTGCGGGCGGAACTCCTCCTCGGTGCGGTACCGCTTCATGAAGAGGTACACAGAGACCACGCCCGCGCCCTGCCGGGCGGACGTGCGCGTGTGTGTGTGCACGTGCGTGTGTACGTGTATGTGTACATGTGTGTGTGTATACGTGTGTGTGCACGTGCGTGTACGTGTATGTGTACGTGTGTGTGTACGTGTGTGTGTGCGTGTGTATACGTGTGTGTGCGTGTATGTGTACGTGTGTGTACGTGTGTGTGTGCATGCGTGTACGTGCGAGTGTGTGTGCACGTGTGTGTGTACGTGTGTGTGTACGTGTGTGTGTACGTGTGTGTGTACGCGTGTTTGTGTGTGTACGTGTGTGTGTGTGCACGTGTTTGTGTGTGTACGTGTGTACGTGCGTGTGGGGGGGGGGGGAGCGGTAGCGTAGCGGTTAGCGCGCTGCGCTCAGAACCTGGCGACCCGAGTTCGTGCGCTCCCTCCCTCCTCCCTCCCCCTCTTCACCCCCCCCCCCCAACCTCTTCATCTCCCTCCCCCCTTCTTCTCCCCCTACTCTTCATCGTCGTTCTCCCCAGCTGCCTTCCCCTCTCTCTCCTCCACGTCCCTCTTCTCTCTCTCCCCTCCTCCTCCCCCATCTCTCTCTCCTCCCTCCTCCTCCCCTCCACCTCATCCCCCCCGACGCCCATCTCCCTCCTCCGTCAATCCTCCGCCTTCCCATCCCCTCCTCCTCATCCCGCGATGGCGTTCCGCTCACCTCGGTAAGGAAGAATGAGAGCACGGCGAAGTGGAACGACCAGCCGTACGAGTAGGTGAATGAGGTGGAGTTCTCGCTCGAGCGGCTGGTCACCTCGTCGTTGACGCTCGAGATGTAGAGGACGAGGCCCACGACGAGCGCGAGCCCTAGCAGAAGCAGAAGCACGATCAGCAGCATCATCAACATCGTGATCAGAACTATCATCATCATCATCATCATCAGAACCATCATCATCATCAGAACCATCATCATTAGCACAATCAGCACCATCGTCATCAGCAGCACCATCATCATTAGCACCATCAGCAGCAGCACCATCATCATCAGCAGCACCATCATCATCAGCAGCAGCAGCTGTAAGATCATCAGCAGCAGCAGAAGCGCAGTCGTCATAATCAGTGGCAATAGTTTTTTCAAGTCGCAGCATTTGCACCAGCATCAGCAGTAGTAGCATCATCAGCAGCACCATCAGCATAGTAGTAGCGTCATCATGATCAGCAGTAGCATCAGCAGTAGTAGTATCATCAGCAGCACCTTCAGCATAATCAGCAGTAGTAGCATCATCATTATCAGCAGTAGCATCAGCAGTAGTAGCATCATCAGCTATTATCATCATTACCAGCAGTAGCATCAGCAGCAGTAGCATCATCAGCAGCACCATCAGCATTATCAGCAGTAGCATCAACAGTAGCATCATCAGCAGCACCGCCAGCATAATCAGCAGTAGCATCAGCAGTAGTAGCATCGTCAGCAGCACTATCAGCATAATCAGCAGTAGTAGCATCATCAGCAGCACCATAATCATTATCAGCAGTAGCATCAGCAGTAGTAGCATCATCAGCACCATCAGCATTATCAGCAGTAGCATCAACAGTAGCATCATCAGCAGCACCGTCAGCATAATCAGCAGTAGCATCAGCAGTAGTAGCATCGTCAGCAGCACTATCAGCATAATCAGCAGTAGTAGCATCATCAGCAGCACCATAATCATTACCAGCAGTAGCATCAGCAGTAGTAGCATCATCAGCAGCACCATCAGCATAATCAGCAGTAGCATCAGCAGTCGTAGCATCATCAGCAGCACCATCAGCATAATCAGCAGTAGTAGCAGCAGTTCCATAATCAGTATCATCATCAGCATCATCAGCAGTAGCATCATCAGCAGCACCTCGGATTAGCACACTTGACTACGTACGGTGCGAAAGAAGTTCAACATACATGCATTATCAAGTGAGACACAGAGACAATTGATGGAGGAGGGGGGGGGGAGCGATGATGTGTGCGTGCCTCCCCTAGGTCGACTCAGCCTAAAATGAGTACCTGGTGCGGTGTGTAAACATCGCCGCTAGGGGTACAAAGACGGCCGTGCGTGGTGTTGGCCACCCACCCCCTTGTGTGTGTATGTGTGTGTTCAATACATTACAATCGTTATCAGCGTCATCACCACCACCACCTTTCACCATCATCGCCAAGTTCGTGACCCGATCAGGGTGACCCCGTCGCTAATTAACAACCAGCGACTGCGCTCTCCTCCCGTTAATGGACACTAATGACAAGTTGTTACCCGGCTAAGCGGCGGTGAGATGGGTGACAATCGACCGTGCGGGAAAACTCTTCCACCTCTCATCTTTCTCTCTCGTCTGCCAAATCTCTGTAGTCCCCCCATCCTCTCTCTCTCTCTGTGTCCGTGCCACCACAGCTCTCTTTCCTCTCTCCCGTTGTGTATGCCGCCCTCTCTCTCTCTCAATCGGACTACTCTTTCCCCTCTCCCAACTCGCTGTCTCATCTCTCGCTCTCCCTGTCCTGTTCTGCCAAATATCTCTCTCTCTCTCCCATCTCTCCCAAACTCCGCCCCCCCCTCTCACTCCCTCATCTCCCCCCCCGTCCCCCCCCCTCACTCCCTCATCTCCCCCCCCCCCCACTCTCACTCCCTCATCTCCCCCCTCTCTCACTCCCTCATCTCCCCCCCCCGTCCCCCCCTCACTCCCTAATCTCCCCCCCCCTCACTCCCTCATCTCCCCCCCCCCTCTCACTCCATCATCTCCCCCCCCCTCTCACTCCCTCATCTCCCCCCCCCCCCACTCTCACTCCCTCATCTCCCCCCCCCCTCTCACTCCATCATCTCCCCCCCCTCTCACTCCCTCATCTCCCCCCCCCCACTCTCACTCCCTCATCTCCCCCCCCCCCTCTCACTCCCTCATCTCCCCCCCCCGTCCCCCCCTCACTCCCTCATCTCCCCCCCCCCTCTCACTCCATCATCTCCCCCCCCTCTCACTCCCTCATCTCCCCCCCCCCCCACTCTCACTCCCTCATCTCCCCCCCCCGTCCCCCCCTCACTCCCTCATCTCCCCCCCCCTCACTCCCTCATCTCCCCCCCCCCCCACTCTCACTCCCTCATCTCCCCCCCCTCTCACTCCATCATCTCCCCCCCTCTCACTCCCTCATCTCCCCCCCCCCTCTCACTCCTCATCTCACCCCCCCCCCACTCTCACTCCCTCATCTCCCCCCCCTCACTCCCTCATCTCCCCCCCCCGTCCCCCCCTCACTCCCTCATCTCCCCCCCCCTCTCACTCCATCATCTCCCCCCCCTCTCACTCCCTCATCTCCCCCCCCCCACTCTCACTCCCTCATCTCCCCCCCTCTCACTCCATCATCTCCCCCCCCTCTCACTCCCTCATCTCCCCCCCCCCCACTCTCACTCCCTCATCTCCCCCCCCTCTCACTCCATCATCTCCCCCCCCTCTCACTCCCTCATCTCCCCCCCCCCCCACTCTCACTCCCTCATCTCCCCCCCCCTCTCACTCCCTCATCTCCCCCCCCCGTCCCCCCCTCACTCCCTCATCTCCCCCCCACTCTCACTCCCTCATCTCCCCCCTCACACTCACTCCCTCATCTCCCCCCCCTCTCACTCCCTCATCTCCCTCCTCTCACTCCCTCATCTCCCCCCCCCCTCTCACTCCCTCATCTCCCCCCCCCACACTCACTCCCTCATCTCCCCCCCTCTCACTCCCTCATCTCCCTCCTCTCACTCCCTCATCTCCCCCCCCTCTCACTCCCTCATCTCCCCCCCCCTCTCACTCCCTCATCTCCCCCCCCCTCTCACTCCCTCATCTCCCCCCCCTCTCACTCCCTCATCTCCCCCCCCCCACTCTCACTCCCTCATCTCCCCCCCCCTCTCACTCCCTCATCTCCCCCCCCGTCCCCCCCTCACTCCCTCATCTCCCCCCCCACTCTCACTCCCTCATCTCCCCCCCCCTCACTCCCTCATCTCCCCCCCCCCCACTCTCACTCCCTCATCTCCCCCCCCTCTCACTCCCTCATCTCCCCCCCCCCGTCCCCCCCTCACTCCCTCATCTCCCCCCCACTCTCACTCCATCATCTCCCCCCCCCTCTCACTCCCTCATCTCCCCCCCCCACACTCACTCCCTCATCTCCCCCCTCTCACTCCCTCATCTCCCCTCCTCTCACTCCCTCATCTCCCCCCCCTCTCACTCCCTCATCTCCCCCCCCCTCTCACTCCCTCATCTCCCCCCCTCTCACTCCCTCATCTCCCCCCCCTCTCACTCCCTCATCTCCCCCCCCCCACTCTCACTCCCTCATCTCCCCCCCCCTCTCACTCCCTCATCTCCCCCCCCGTCCCCCCCTCACTCCCTCATCTCCCCCCCACTCTCACTCCCTCATCTCCCCCCCCCTCACTCCCTCATCTCCCCCCCCCCCCACTCTCACTCCCTCATCTCCCCCCCCTCTCACTCCCTCATCTCCCCCCCCCCGTCCCCCCCCTCACTCCCTCATCTCCCCCCCCACTCTCACTCCATCATCTCCCCCCCCTCTCACTCCCTCATCTCCCCCCCCGTCCCCCCTCACTCCCTCATCTCCCCCCCTCTCACTCCCTCATCTCCCCCCCCTCTCACTCCCTCATCTCCCCCCCCCCCGTCCCCCCCTCACTCCCTCATCTCCCCCCCCTCTCACTCCCTCATCTCCCCCCCCTCTCACTCCATCATCTCCCCCCCCTCTCACTCCCTCATCTCCCCCCCCCCGTCCCCCCCTCACTCCCTCATCTCCCCCCCCTCTCACTCCCTCATCTCCCCCCCCTCTCACTCCCTCATCTCCCCCCCCCGTCCCCCCCTCACTCCCTCATCTCCCCCCCCCCCCCTCACTCCCTCATCTCCCCCCCCCGTCCCCCCCTCACTCCCTCATCTCCCCCCCCCCCTCACTCCCTCATCTCCCCCCCCCCCCTCACTCCCTCATCTCCCCCCCCGTCCCCCCCCTCTCACTCCCTCATCTCCCCCCCCTCATCTCTCTCCGCCTCTCTGTCGCTCACTCTGGAATCGAATCGGTCGTTGCCGAATCGATTTCCGATGACCTTTCTGTGATGGCCTCCGAACATTGGGAGGGAAGAGGCGGCGGCGGCGGCGGGAACGGGAACGGGAACGCACTCCGGCCCCACTTGCATCCAGAATCAAGTTTCCCGGCTGCACTCGCTGCTCGCCAAACAAACAAAGGAGGCTAGGCACCTCTCTCTCTCTCTCTCTCCCACAGCTGCCCCGCGTGGCCTGTTCTAGAATCTACCCCCAAGGCAAAAGCTTTCTTTATAAATAAATAACAATAATAATGACGCCGCTGGCCATCTTTGGTTTCTTTCTGCAGCGTTGTGTTTGAAGGACGGCGTGGATCACAGCGTGGCTCTGAGAGCGCGCGCGCTCCCTCACGACGCCGTGAGCTGCGCCTGAGTGGGACGCCTCACAGCTGACAGGGACGGTGGTGATGATGGTGGTGATGGTGATGATGATGACGGTGGTGATGATGACGGTGATGATGATGATGATGATGACGGTGGTGATGATGACGGTGATGATGATGACGGTGGTGATGATGATGATGACGGTGGTGATGATGACGGTGATGATGATGACGGTGGTGATGATGACGGTGATGATGATGACGGTGGTGATGATGATGATGATGACGGTGGTGATGATGACGGTGATGATGATGACGGTGGTGATGATGACGGTGATGATGATGATGATGACGGTGGTGGTGATGACGGTGGTGTTGATGATGATGACGACGGTGGTGAAGGTGATGATGACGGTGGTGATGATGACGACGGTGGTGATGATGACGACGGTGGTGATGATGGTGGTGACGGTGGTGATGTTGATGATGCAAACGGTGGTGAAGGTGATGATGACGGTGGTGATGGTGATGATGACGACGGTGGTGATGATGGTGGTGACGGTGGTGATGATGACGGTGGTGAAGGTGATGATGACGGTGGTGATGGTGATGATGACGACGACGGTGGTGATGATGGTGGTGATGATGACGGTGGTGATGATGATGATGACGACGGTGGTGATGGTGTTGATGACGACGGTGCTGATGTTGATTATGATAACGACGGTGATGATGATGGAGGTGACGGTGGTGGTGATGATGATGGCCAAGAATAGAAAACGGAGCAGCAGTCGAAGGAGCGTATGGAACGCGTCTTATATAAACTAAAACTAAACATAGTGTAACATTACAAGTCTAATATTGTATAATCTAAAGTATAGGGTAGTGTATAGTAACGCATTGTATAATTCAAAGGTGGAATTTGTCTATGGATATGATATTCTACCATGTAGTTTAGATTGGAAGGTATAATATTGTATTGTATAGTAGTCCAGTTTATGGCATAGTTTTCTTATTTTTTACCAAGTCCCTCCGTTCCGAAGTTTGTCCCTCATATTAACATGCTAATTCATATGTTAATTCCTCCCACATAGCTTAAAGATACGCTGTCCATGCTTGGCAGTGTTCACTCAAGCGCTGTCTTCTGGACAGTCCTGTTTCTTCACCTGAAGAAGGCTACTTGTGTTGTGGCCGAAACGTCGTGAGAATTTTTATTTTATTACGTTTTATTTTTATTATTTTATTTCCATTCTACGTGACTTTACCGAAAGAACCAAAAAGATGAATCCCTGCAGTCACGAAAGCTTTAAATCAAATAATAAAACGGAACTATTTGTTTATTTTACCAGGTAAGGCCCACTGAGCTGTATGGCTCTTTTTCCACAGCGACCTGGTCACAAATGACAGCACAACGAGGTGGTTTATCGTCACGTGGACATTTAAAGCAGCCAAATACTCTAAACGCGTGGATGTTGATTCTAAATGTGGAGGGCAAAAAACGGAGGACCCGGAGAAAAATCTACGCGGCCACGGAGAGAGAGACACGCAAACTCCAAATATACAGCAGCAGGCGTCAGGGTCGGGGTCGAACCCACGACCTCCTGCATACCAGGCGAAGGAGTTAACATCTTCTAGCCACCGTGATGATGATGATGATGAGAGAGAGACACGCAAACTCCAAATATACAGCAGCAGGCGTCAGGGTCGGGTCGAACCCACGACCTCCTGCATACCAGGCGAAGGAGTTAACATCTCCTAGCCACCGTGATGATGATGATGAGAGAGAGAGACACGCAAACTCCAAATATACAGCAGCAGGCGTCAGGGTCGGGTCGAACCCACGACCTCCTGCATACCAGGCGAAGGAGTTAACATCTCCTAGCCACCGTGATGATGATGATGAGAGAGAGAGACACGCAAACTCCAAATATACAGTAGCAGGCGTCAGGGTCGGGGTCGAACCCACGACCTCCTGCATACCAGGCGAATGAGTTAACATCTCCTAGCCACCGTGATGATGATGATGAGAGAGAGAGACACGCAAACTCCAAATATACAGCAGCAGGCGTTAGGGTCGGGGTCAAACCCACGACCTCCTGTATACCAGGCGAAGGAGTTAACATCTCCTAGCCACGGCGCCGTCCCATGGGGATATGAAACCGAGGAGATGGAGCGATGAAAATTAATTCATCGTTGGTGCTAGGCGGATTGTGACATCATCCAGCAGTTGATTGACCATGGCTGATGATGGCTCTGTGTACAGCAAGATACCAAAGACAAAGAGCCCCCGTATAGCCAGAACAGACTGTAGGGGCAAGTGCTGTTTGCGAGCACCTATGAAGGCCGGAACGGCACACGAGGGGGTGGGTGGCCAGCACCACTCCCTTTGTCTCCCTAGTGGCGAAGATTTACTACACACCGCACCAGGTACTCATTTGAGGCTGAGTCAACCTAGGGGAGGCCCAGGACCGGTTCAGATAATCGTCACTGAGTGTTGGCCGTGAGCGGGAATCGAACCCGGGTCGCCGGGTTCGTAGCGCAGCGTAGCGCTAACCGCTACACCACCGTTCCACACTACAGCAAAATCACACACGCGCACACACAGGCACACGCACACACACGCACAAACACGCAGGGACGCACACACGGACACACACGCTCACTGATCGGTTGCTCGCGACCACCCCCTAGCCCCTTTCCACCTATCTCCCCTACCCCAACACTGCCCCTGCATAAAAAAGTCCCCATTGGTCTCCCCCATCCCCCCTTCCCCCCCACTTTCCCACCCCACCTCTACCCCCACCCCACGTTACCCAATTAGGTTTTTTTTCCAAACCACCTCCACCCACCCCACCCCATCAACTCTCAACCGGAGCTAATTAGAGAGAGAGACTGGGAATAGAGAGATGATGATGAGGGTTGTGATGTCGTGGAGATCACGAGGTGATGTTGAGGTGATGATGATGGGCGTGTGATGATGATGATGGGGGTGTGATGTCGTGGAGATCACGAGGTGATGTTGAGGTGATGATGGACGTGTGGTGACGAGGTGGTGACGAGGTGGTGACGAGGTGGTGACGAGGTGGTGACGAGGTGGTGACGAGGTGGTGACGAGGTGGTGACGAGGTGGTGACGAGGTGGTGACGAGGTGGTGACGAGGTGGTGACGAGGTGGTGACGAGGTGGTGACGAGGTGGTGACGAGGTGGTGACGAGGTGGTGACGAGGTGGTGACGAGGTGGTGACGAGGTGGTGGCGGGCTCTCTCACCGGCTAGGATGAAGAAGATGCCCGAGACGAAGGCGAGTGCGGTCCGCTGGGGCCGCACGTGGCCCAAGTTGTTGATGACGAAGCCGAGGAGCATGAGGAGCAGCGCAGCGAGGGGGAACGGCGTGGCGGAGCGCATCAACCCTGCCGCACACACGCAGAGAGACACACACAGACACACACACAGACACACACACACGGATAGACACAGCGACACACACGGAGACACACACAGATAGACACACACACGGCGTGGCGGAGCGCATCTACCCTGCCGCACACACGCAGAGAGACACACACGGATAGACACAGCCACACACACGGATAGACACAGAGACACACACAGATAGACACACACACGGCGTGGCGGAGCGCATCAACCCTGCCGCGCACACGCAGAGAGACACACACAGACACACACACAGACACACACACACGGATAGACACACGCAGAGAGACACACACGGATAGACACAGAGACACACACACGGATAGACACACAGAGACACACACGGAGACACACACAGATAGACACACACACGGCGTGGCGGAGCGCATCAACCCTGCCGCACACACGCAGAGAGACACACACAGACACACACACACACGGATAGACACAGAGACACACACGGAGAGACACACACACAGAGACACACACACAGACACACACACGGATAGACACAGGGACACACACGGAGAGACACACGCAGAGAGACACAGACACACACACGGATAGACTCACAGAGACACACACATAGAAAGAGACAGACACACACGGAGACACACAGATAGACACACACATGGAAACACACGCAGATAGACACAGAGACACACACGGAGACACACACACAGATAGACGTACACATAGACACACCCAGATAGACACAAACACAGATACACACACGGAGACACACACACAGATAGACGCACACATAGACACACCCAGATAGACACAGACACAGAGACACACACGGAGACACACACGGAGACACACACAGATAGACGCACACATAGACACACCCAGATAGACACAGACACAGAGACACACACGGAGACACACACACAGATAGACACACACATAGCCACACACAGATAGACACAGACACAGAGACACACACGGAGACACATACAGATAGACACAGACACAGAGACACACACGGAGACACACACACAGATAGACGCACACATAGACACACACAGAGACACACACATGGATAGATACAGAGACACACACATAGACACACACACAGAGACTCACACACAGAGACACACACACAGAGACACACACAGAGACTCACACACAGAGACACACAGATAGACACACACACAGATAGACACACACAGAGACTCACACACAGATAGACACACACAGAGACTCACACACAGAGACACACAGAGACACACACACAGAGACACACACAGAGACTCACACACAGAGACTCACAGATATAGACACACACACAGATAGACACACACAGAGACTCACACACAGAGACACACACAGAGACTCACACACAGAGACACACACAGAGACTCACACACAGAGACACACAGATAGACACACAGACAGATAGACACACACAGAGACTCACACACAGAGACTCACACACAGAGACTCACACACAGAGACACACAGATAGACACACACAGATAGACACACACAGAGACACACACAGAGACTCACACAGAGATACACAGACATAGACACACACACAGATAGACACACACAGAGACTCACACACAGAAACACATACAGAGACACACACAGAGACACACACACAGACACACACACACACGGATAGACACACAGAGACACACACATGGATAGACACGGAGACACACACGGAGACACACACAGATAGACACACACACGGCGTGGCGGAGCGCATCAGCCCTGCCGCACACACGCAGAGAGACACACACACAGACACACACACGGATAGACACAGAGACACACACGGAGAAACACACACAGAGAGACACACACACAGGCACACACACGGATAGACACAGAGACACACACGGAGAGACACACGCAGAGAGACACAGACACACACACGGATAGACACACAGAGACACACACATGGATAGAGACAGAGACACACACGGAGACACACAGATAGACACACACATGGAAACACACGCAGATAGACACAGACACAGAGACACACACACAGATAGACGCACACATAGACACACCCAGATAGACACAAACACAGAGACACACACGGAGACACACACACAGATAGACGCACACATAGACACACCCAGATAGACACAGACACAAATACACACACAGATAGACGCACACATAGACACACCCAGATATACACAGACACAGAGACACACACGGAGACACACACACAGATAGACACACACATAGCCACACACAGATAGACACAGACACAGAGACACACACGGAGACACACACAGATAGACGCACACATAGACACACACAGAGACACACACAGAGACACACACAGAGACACACACATGGATAGATACAGAGACACACACAGAGACACACAGATATAGACACACACACAGATAGACACACACAGAGACTCACACACAGAGACACACACAGAGACTCACACACAGAGACACGCACAGAGACTCACACACAGAGACACACAGATAGACACACAGACAGATAGACACACACAGAGACTCACACACAGAGACTCACACACAGAGACACACAGATAGACACACACACAGATAGACACACACATGGACACACACAGAGACACACACAGAGACTCACACACAGAGACACACAGACATAGACACACACACAGATAGACACACACAGAGACTCACACACAGAGACACACACAGAGACACACACAGAGACACACACAGAGACTCACACACAAAGACACACAGATAGACAAACACACAGATAGACACACAGAGACTCACACACAGAGACTCACACACAGAGACACACAGATAGACACACACACAGATAGACACACACATGGACACACACAGAGACACACACAGAGACTCACACACAGAGACACACAGAGACTCACACACAGAGACACACACATAGACACACACAGAGACACACACACAGAGACTCACACACAGAGACACACAGATAGACACACACAGATAGACACACACAGAGACTCACACACAGAGACTCACACACAGAGACTCACACACAGAGACACACAGATAGACACACACAGATAGACACACACATGGACACACACAGAGACACACACAGAGACTCACACACAGAGACACACAGACATAGACACACACACAAATAGACACACACAGAGACTCACACACAAACACACAGAGAGACACACAGAGAGACTCACACACAGAGACACACACGGAGAGACAGATACACACACAGAGAGACACACACACAGGGACACACACAGAGACACACACAGACACACACACAGACACACACAGAGACACACACAGACACACACAGAGAGACACGCACGGAGAGACAGATACACACACGGAGAGACACACACGGAGAGACACACACAGAGAGACACACACACAGAGACACACACACAGAGACAGACACACAGAGACAGACACACAGAGACAGACACATAGACACACAGAGACAGACACATAGACACACAGAGACAGACACATTGACACACAGAGACAGACACATAGACACACAGAGACAGACACATAGACACACAAAGACAGACACATAGACACACAGAGACAGACACATAGACACACAGAGACAGACACATAGACACACAGAGACACACACAGAGACACACACAGAGAGACACACAGAGACACACACAGAGAGACACACAGAGAGACACGCACAGACACACACAGAGACACACACAGAGACACACACAGACATACACACGGAGAGACACACACGGAGAGATACACACAGACACACACAGAGACACACACGGAGAGACACACACAGAGAGACACACACACACACAGACAGACACACAGAGACAGACACATAGACACACAGAGACAGACACATAGACACACAGAGACAGACACATAGACACACAGAGACAGACACATAGACACACAGAGACACACACAGAGAGACACACACGGAGAGACAGATACACACACGGAGAGACACACACGGAGAGACACACACAGAGAGACACACAGAGAGACACACGCAGACACACACAGAGACACACACAGACACACACACACACACACGGAGAGATACACACAGAGAGACACACAGAGAGACACACACAGACACACACAGAGACACACACAGACACACACACGGAGAGACACACACGGAGAGACACACACAGACACACACAGAGACACACACAGAGAGACGCACACGGAGAGACACATAGACACACAGAGACAGACACATAGACACACAGAGAGACACACACGGAGAGACAGATACACACACAGAGAGACACACACAGAGACACACACAGAGACACACACGGAGAGACACACACGGAGAGACAGACACACAGGGACAGACACACAGAGACAGACACACGGAGACAGACACACATAGACACACAGAGACAGACACATAGACACAAAGAGACACACACAGAGAGACACACACGGAGAGACAGATACACACACAGAGAGACACACACACACACAGACAGACACACAGAGACAGACACACATAGACACACAGAGACACACACATAGACACACAGAGACAGACAAAGACGCACAGAGACAGACACATTGACACATAGAGACAGACACATAGACACACAGCGACAGACACATAGACACACAGAGACAGACACATAGACACACAGAGACAGACACATAGACACACAGAGACACACACAGAGAGACACACACGGAGAGACACACACGGAGTCGACACACACAGAGAGACACACACACAGACAGACACACAGAGACAGACACACAGAGACAGACACATAGACACACAGAGACAGACACATAGACACACAGAGACAGACACATAGACACACAGAGACACACACAGAGAGACACACACGGAGAGACACACACAGAGAGACACACAGAGAGACACACACATACACACACAGAGACACACACAGAGACACACACAGACACACACACCGAGAGATACACACAGAGAGACACACAGAGAGACACACACAGACACACACACAGACACACACACGGAGAGACACACACGGAGAGACACACACAGACACACACAGAGACACACACAGAGAGACACACACCGAGAGACACATAGACACACAGAGACAGACATATAGACACACAGAGACACACACAGAGAGACACACACAGAGACAGACACATAGACACACAGAGACACACACAGAGAGACACACACGGAGAGACATACACAGAGAGACACACACAGAGACACACACAGACACACACACAGACACACACAGAGACACACACAGAGACACACACACAGACACACACACGGAGAGATACACACAGAGAGACACACACAGACACACACAGAGACACACACAGAGACACACACAGACACACACACAGACACACACACGGAGAGACACACACGGAGAGACACACAGACACACACAGAGACACACACAGAGAGACACACACGGAGAGACACATAGACACACAGAGACAGACACATAGACACACAGAGACACACACAGAGAGACACACACGGAGAGACAGACACAAAGAGACAGACACACATAGACAGACACACATAGACACACAGAGACAGACACACAGACACACAGAGACAGACACAGAGAGACACACACGGAGAAACAGATACACACACGGAGAGACACACACGCAGAGATACACACAGACACACACAGAGACACACACAGAGACACACACAGAGACACACACAGAGACAGACACACACAGACACACACACGGAGAGACACACACGGAGAGACAGACACACAGAGACAGACACACAGAGACAGACACACACACAGACACACAGAGACAGACAAAGACAAGCGCAGGGTGGCAACGGCTTGGCGGAGCCCTCTTGCCCCATCGGCCTGCGAGGGCTACACGGGGCGGGCTTTGTCTTTGCGTGCTGCGCGGCTCACGTAGCACGTTGGCTGTGGAGTCGGACGCGATGTGCGAGCCGCTCGCCGTGAAGTACTGCACGTTGCTGCACGAGCCCAGATCCTCTTCTGCAGGGACACGCGCCCCGCACACGGTCGTAGGGTCAGGGCAAGGGTTCGTGGTAGGGTCATAGGGTCGGGGTCAATGTTAGGGTCATCGTTGGGTTTCAGGGTTAGTGGTTGGGTCATAGGGTCGGGGGTAATGTTAGGGTCATCATTAGGTTCAGGGTTACTGTTAGGGTCATAGGGTCGGGGTTAATGTTAGGGTCATCGTTAGGTTTCAGGGTGTTAGGGTCATAGGGTCGGGGTTAATGTAAGGGTCATCGTTAGGGCCAGGGGTGAGTGTTCGGGTCATCAGGGTCAGGTTTAATGTTCAGGTCATCGTTAGGGTTAGGGTCAAGGTTAACGTTAGGATCATAGGGCGAGGATTAGTGTTATGATCATGGTTAGGGTGATAATTCGGCTCTGAGTTCCACTGCCTCTCTCTCTCTCTCTCCCCCCCTCTCCGCCGCCTCTGTGCCCCGCGAGTTGCTCACGACGCCGCTGTTGCACGCGACTAGGAGGCGACAATTGGACGCCGTGCGACCTCGCGCACGCAAATTTCCCTTCCGCCCCTTCGGCGAGACCCGCCAGGAGACTTCGACACTCGTCAAAGTCTCCGCAACTTCGGCGCGTGAGAGCCAGCGTTGACCGCGAGGTTCGTCGTGACTATCGAAGCGGACGACCAAATTGCTACTGCGAATGAGTCATGAGGATCGGTTAAACTATCCCGGCTGAACACGCGGCTGTCATTATTACAACTGCCCCCATCCCCCCCCCCCCTAACACTGCCCCCCCCCCCACACTGCTCCTCCCGCCACTGCCCCCCACGCGACACTGCCACCCCCAACCACCCCGACCCCCCCCACCGCCCGCGCCGAGGAGCGTCACCTGCGAGCGAGCAGACCCTCCAGAGCCCCGAGTGCACGGCCACGTGGAGCCACCGCGTGCGGTTTCCGTGCGAGAAGAGCGTCTCGTGCGAGTAGAGCCAGAAGTCAGTGCTCACGGCCACGCACAGCGCGCACAGCCCCAGCACAGAGAGGCCGCTGCTCAGCAGCGTCAAGGAGCGACGGCCGCAGCGGCCCATCACGGGGCTGGCCCCGGCCTACGTGGGAGGGTGGGTGGAGCGGTGGGACAGCGGTTAGCGCGCAGGGCCACGAAACCAGAGTGGACCGAATGCGGCGGCTCTCTCGCCCGCTTCAGCACGTTGTCTTGCCGTGGTTGTTCCCCCTGATGAAGGTTGCTTGCGTTGCGATCGAAACGTCGTGATTTGTTTCATTTCATTTCTGCCTACCTGACTTTAGTGAAAGAGACGAAGAGCACGGACCGAATATCTTGATTTGAAGCTTTCGTGACGGCAAGAATCCATATTCGTTTGGTCTGCACCGGTCCCGGGGCCTCCCCCGAGGTCGACTCGGCCTCGGTGCGGTGTGTAAGTTAAACATCGTCACTGCGGGAGACAAAGGCGGCCCGGCGTGGTGTTTTCCGGCCACACCTGCTCGCTGACAGGGCTTGCCGCGACGGTCTGTCGAGGCTATACGGGGGATCTTTGTCTGTGGGGGTCAGGTCACTGGGGGTGAGTGGCACGGGGAGGCACAGAGGGGCCTGACAGTGAATGGTGGGGAGAGATGGGTAGCGGGGAGATGGCATGTCAGACGGTGGGAGAAGATGACAGGGGATGGTGGGAGAGATGAGTTTGAGATGGTGGCGAGAGATGAGTTTGAGATCGTGGGAGAGATTAATGGAGATGGTGGCGAGAGATGAGTTTGAGGTGGGTGTAGAAGTTGACAGCAGACGATGGGAAGCGATGTTGGGTTGGTGTCGTCGTGTAGAAACAGCGCGGCGAGATGGGGGCAGGCGGGCGTGGGGTGGGGCTGGGCGAGCGGGCGGGCTGGCGGTGTTGCGAGAGACGAGGGGACAGACTGGGCCGCATAGGAAGAGATGGAAAGAGGTGGCGGGTGGTGAGCGAGACATGGGCGTAGGTGAGGGCCGCATAGGAAGAGAGGGAAATTGGTGGAGACGCGGGGAGATATGGGGGGGGGGGGGGGGGGGCGGGGGAGGGGGCGAACTGAGACACGGGGGCGGGGTGGGTGGGGGGAAGTGAAAGGGGAAACGCAGGCACGAGTCTCACACATGGCTCGAACCCTAACCCTATAGCTCACACGTAGCCCTGACCCAAACCCTATAGCTCACACGTAGCTCAAACCCTAACCCTATAGCTCACACGTAGCCCTGACCCTAACCCTATAGCTCACACGTAGCCCTGACCCAAACCCTATAGCTCACACGTAGCCCTGACCCTAACCCTATAGCTCACACAGAGCCCTGACCCTAACCCTATAGCTCACACGTAGCCCTGACCCAAACCCTATAGCTCACACATAGCCCTGACCCAAACCCTATAGCTCACACGTAGCCCTGACCCTAACCCTATAGCTCACACATAGCCCTGACCCTAACCCTATAGCTCACACGTAGCCCTGACCCTAACCCTATAGCTCACACATAGCCCTGACCCAAACCCTATAGCTCACACGTAGCCCTGACCCTAACCCTATAGCTCACACGTAGCTCAAACCCTAACCTTATAGCTCACAACCCTAATCCGAGCTCAGCCCTAACCCCAGCACATAGTCCGAACCCCAAGGCTTAGCCCTAGACCCTAACCCTAAGTGTACGCCCTGTGGCGTAGCCTGGTCGTCACGGACCCCGATGCATAGAAATTAAATGAAGGGGGGCGGGATGGAGCGTGGAGGAGCTGTCCAACTCCCCCACACCCCTCCCCCTTTACCCCCCCCCCCCGTCGTCACACCCCTCTCCCTGCTCCTTACCCCCCTCGCTCCGTGTCCAGTGTCACGCAGATCGGACCCGGCGCGCGCGCACGAAAAAATGTAATTCCCGAGTTCCCAAATCTCTTTTGACTTCCGACGGCGACGAATGACACAAGTCATGACGTCACACACGCACACAAACACCACACACACACCACACACACCACACACAAACACCACACACCACACACACCACACACACCACACACACACCACACACAAACAACACACACCACACCACGCACACACACACCACACACACCACACACACCACACACACAAACAACACACACCACACCACACACACACACCACACACACCACACACACCACACACACACACCACACACAAAAACCACACACCACACCACACACACACCACACACACCACACACACACACCAGACACACACACCACACACAAACACCACACACCACACCACACACACACACCACATACACACCACACACACCACACACCACACACACCACACACCACACACACCACACACACACCACACACACCACACACACACACGACACACACACCACACACACCACACACCACACACACAACACATACACCACACACCACACACACACACCACACACACACACACACCACACACACACCACACACACCACACACACCACACACACCACACACACACCACACACACCACACACCACACACACCACACGACACACACGACACACACACAACACATACACCACACCCCACACACACACACCACACACACAACACATACACCACACACCACACACACACCACACACACACACGACACACACACCACACACACACACGACACACACACAACACATACACCACACACCACACACACAACACATACACCACACACCACACACACACACCACAAACACCACACGCACAGAGAGAGACAAAGGCAAAGATCCCCTAATAGCCTCAATTGAAATTTGGGACAAGTGCTGTTTAGCGAGCTTCTTTCAGAGCCGCGAGAGGGGTGCTGTGGCCAGCAATCTACGCCGGGCCGCCTTTGTCTCCCCGATCGCGACGTTTACTCCACACTGCCACAGGTACTCATTTGAGGCCGAGGCAACCTAGGGGAGGCCCAAGACCGGTTCAGATAATCATCACCGGTGCTGGCCGTGAGCGGGAATCGAACTCGGGTGGCCGGATTCCTTGCGCAGCGTAGCGCTAACCGACGCGCCACCGCTCCCCACACGCACAAACAACCTCAGACACAATCTCAAACTTACACAATCTTACGCACAATCTCACACACAATCTCACGCACAATCTTACACACAATCTCATACACAATCTCATACACAATCTCACACACAATCTCATACACAATCTCACACAATCTCACACACAATCTCATACACAATCTCACACACAATCTCATACACAATCTCACACAATCTCACACACAATCTCACACACAATCTCACACACAATCTCATACACAATCTCACACACAACCTCACACACAATCTCACACACAATCTCACACACAATCTCAGGCACAACCTCACGCACAACCTCACGCACAACCTCACACAATCTCACGCACAATCTCACACACAACCTCACACACAACCTCACGCACAATCTCACGCACAATCTCACACACAATCTCACGCACAACCTCACACACAATATCACACACAATCTCGCACACAATCTCACGCACAATCTCACACACACGGCTGGCAACAAGGAGAGATAATTGCAAGGATGTGATGGTTTTGTTTTTAGCCAACGATCTCATCGGCATTGATTCAGCACAAGCAGACTCTGAGTCGGTTTCGACATACAATGTCTCATTAGCAGGCAGGCTTCGTTGCCTATTAGATCTGGGAATTCACTACGATGATTATGACGACGATGATGATGATGGCGCCGATGATGACGATGATGCCGATGACGACAACGATGATGTTGACGATGATTATGACGAAGATGATGATGATGATGATGACGACGACGATGACGTTGACGATGATTATGACGACGATGATGATGACGATGATTATGACGATGATGCCGATAACGACGACGACGATGATGATGATGCCGATGACGACGATGATTTTGACGATGATTATGACGAGGATGATGATGATGAGGGCGACGATCACGACGACGGCGCCACACACGTGGCTATTTATGGCAACCGTCCTAGGGAACCGCATGTGGGTCACCAGCTCCGCACACAAAGACAAAGATCTCCCACGTAGCCTCGAGCACACCGTTGGGGCAAGTGCTGTTGTCGAACGCACCGCTAGGGAGACGGAGAGCACCAGCTCGGGCACTCGTTTAAGGGCTGAGTCCACCTAGGGGAGGTCCAGATCCGGTTCAGGTGTTCGCCACCGAATACGGGTGAACACGCACGCGCACTCGCGCGCGCGCCACGAGTGTGTGCGCGCGTGTGTCGCGAGCCGCGCTAATCCCCTTCGATGTGTGTTGGGTTTAAAACAAACAACAACAACAACCCCGATATCGACATTAATATTCAACGCGCGGTGCTTTTAAAAGAAGGCCATTGTGCGACGCGAGCGTGCGAGGTGCGCGCGCGTATGCGTGATACCGCGTGGGGGGTGACTGTGTGTGTGACTGTGTGTGTGTCTGTGTGTGCGACTGTGTGTGTGTGTGATTGTGTGTGTGTGACTGTGTGTGTGTCTGTGTGTGTGTCTGTGTGTGTGACTGTGTGTGTGTGACTGCGTGTGTCTGTGTGTGTGACTGTGTGTGTGTGTGTCTGTGTGTGTGACTGTGTGTGTGTGTGTGACTGTCTGGCAAAACAACCCCCTACCTCCTCGCGGTGCCGGATGGGCAACTCTGTCGTGGACAGTGCTGTGGGGGGAGGTCCAATTTTGATTGGCTCCTCCCCTCATGGCGTATGTGTCCACCACAGGGGCTAAACGGGGGCTCTGGACGGGTGCGAGGGGCTGGTAACCCCTCCACCTTCAATTAGTTACCACTAAACCACGAGTTAAACTGAAATATGTGACTAATAAGCTTGTGCCGGAGGCCCCGGGGGGCCAGGCATCTATGACGTATCCGGGCCAAACCCCAATTGGCGGAGCCAGAAGATTGAATATCTACCCTCGGGGCTCCTCCCGAAACAACGAAAAGCCACTACGGGTGGCCACGTGGAATGTTCAAACTCTCACTGCGGAGCAGAGGCTGCCACTCCTCTGTCGGGAGCTGGACCGGTACCGCCTGGATCTCTGTGGCATTCAGGAGGTCGGGTGGACCGGCACTGGC